CCCGCCTCCCGCGTTGTTTGTTGCTGTGCGTCCGCCTCAGCCAGAGTGCGGGCCAGGAATGTGACCAGCTCCGGGCCGGCTCTTCCAAGAACGCGCGCTCCCCCTCCCGGGCTCGGGGGCGCTCGGCTACGCCCGGCTCGTACTCGGCCAAGCTCGGCTCCGTCCGTCCACAGCTCGACACTGCTCGGGTCCCCCGGGCCGGAGCTCGGCCCCACTCGGCCCCGCTCGGCCCCGCTCGGCCCTACTCGGTCCCGCTCGGCCCCGCCTTGTGAAGGCCGCTGGAGGCGGCCACAGCGGAGGCGCCTGGGGCCCCCCTTCCGGCCGAGGCCGCTTCCTGCGCGGCTGGGAAGTCTCCGGTCCTGCTGCCACCACGGTCTTGGGGCCCCGAAACCCACAAGGCCCCTGCCACAACCGCAGGCCAGCTGAGTGGCGGTCCGCAGTAGACCTGCGCCGCTGCCGCCTTACGTCCCAGAGTCCTCTTTCTACGGAGATGCTGCGAAATCGCCTCCACTCCCCAGGCTGCTGGACATCATGCTCTAATAGGACCGGAACGCCACGAGACACAACAAAACAATCCCGAGTGCCCTCATGACCAGGTTGCCAGAAAACTTGGGGTCTGGATACAAGAGCGTCTCAAAGCACCCTAGGGTCTCCACAGGACCGAAGTCCCTGTCCCCATACGATAAGGGCACCACAACACGCATTCCAGGTCCCTGCATAAGGACACCGCAAAACATTCGACACCGAGCTGTCCTTATGATGAGAAAACACCACAAAAATCCAGGTACCCACACAACCGGTACCTCACAAAGAACCACCCAAGGGCTCCGGTGCAGAAGGACTGCCCAAAGTACATCTGGATTTCCATGTGTAGTAACGATGCCACCTGATATACAGAGCTCCACACCCAAGTTCCACACAGCCAGCTAGAATTGCAGAACCTGGAAGCTCATAGCATGACCTCGGGATGCCAAGGCACAGCTATGGGAAAGAAAGTCCCTGTGTCACCGGCAAGACAACATCGACCACCCCATGAACTGTGACGACCCAGCCTCTCAGGTGATATTGCCACCAGCAGCTCCTGTCTACTAGACCCTTCCTGTGAGGTGGGGACTTTGGGACACAATTCTGCATTGAAGAAGCTGTGCCTATCAGCTCTTGCTCCTTCTTGAGCCACCACCCATTAGCCGGCAGCTTGGACAGCAGATGTCTGATTCTCAGGCTGACTGCCCGTGTGACCCTTACCCTTCAGCCTCTAGGACTGGGAACCAAATATCCATCTATACATCAGGTATCCAGGTTATGGCCAGATTAAGACACCACTGCCTGCCCTTCCATGTACTGGCTGTACAATGGGATCAAAGTAGGGCAGTCTTGCGGACTGACAGACAACAGAAGGCTTGGCACAGGAATTCAAGTCAAACCCTGAAGGACAGTTTAAGTCAAGAAGCAGGACCCCCCCACCCCACCCCACCCCCGCAAAGAACTGGACCTCAAACTGGCCAGGGCATAGGCCTTTCCTGATTGGTAAAAGCCAGAAGGTCACGCATAGGGCAGCCTGGGTTACCTCCAGCTTGTGACCTGTTTCTTACCTCCTGGGTAAGTCCAGAACAGGTACAAACCAACACTCCTAGACACAGCTCCTACCCTGGGACTGGCCAGGCATCTCTGTGCAAACTTCAGCTGCCCCTACCTCAAGGCAGGGCTTGATATTTCAAAGAGCAGGGTTCCCTGTCTGAAAACTAGATAGTTCCCAATGTGGAGACACAAGTCCACTCCTAAGTTCCCTATGCTTGCCCACAGTACCCAGGGGATCAGCCTTCCTTCTTATTACAATTCAGGCTCAAAGTTCACTCTTCTGACTTCACTCATAATGGAGAGTTCCCACCTTTAGTTACCTCTTCTGTCAGTACATAAGACAACTGGTAAGGGATTGGCAAGATGGCTCAGAGAGAAATGGTTACCCCCAAACCTGACAACCTGAAAGGAAGAAAGAGAAAAATGGTTCCCATAACTCACCTGCTGACTTCCATACATGCACTGTGGCATGAGCCTCCCTGCTACTCAAAAAATTTTTTCAATGTAGTAAATAGTTTTTTTTTTTAAAGACAGTTGATTATTCCTTAGGGGAATATTTAAAAAACAAAAGATACTTAGTTGTATCCCTGTAGATAGCTTTGTCAGCCCACATGTAGACCCCATACAAATTAATGTTGCATTTGAGGGAATGACTTCCTTGCATGGGATTGTATTCTATACAGTTCAGGCAAATTTTATCCAAAGAAAATGGCTTAGATAGCCATCAAATGAGCTGTGCATGGTAAAACACACTTTAATCCCAGCACTTGGGAGGCAGAGCCAGGAGACCTCTATGAGTTCCAGACTAGCCTGGTCTACCTAATGAGACCCATCTCAAAAAATAAAAAAGGCAAAGAAGTTATGCTGTTTATCTTAGTGGGGCCCTGAACACCAATCTCAGTGGCCAGTGCTCTCAAAGATGCTACATGCATCATATGGCTATCGTGATGCAAGGCCCAAGCCAGGGACTAGCATTGGCCCCAGATGCAGAACCCAGTAAAGTAGACATGACTAGATGCAGTGTAAAGGTACTTGTCCCTAAAGGGCAGATAGGAAGGAGGTACAGGTTAAAGAGCCCTAGGAAGCAAGGAGGGCTTCTGTGGCTTCCAGCCTCAGTGCACTCAAAGGCTTTCCCTCTGCTCGAGACGACAGAACTTCTGAAGCAGCCCAGCACACAGAGTCAGGGTGGCTGTGACAGATAGTGCTGGCAGGGCCTCATGCCCTCGCGGCTTTCTTCCTTCAACCCCTCCCACAGCTGTTCGGGCCCATTACACAGTCATGCTATGGGCCAGGCCACCATATGGGTAAATGGGGCATCTAGACTACAGCCACAACCATGCTGGGTGCGGGGTTGGAGGCTTGGTGCCTGCCTAGAGAACCTCAAGCATGCAGGTGGAGGAAGGGACCCAGGTGCACAGGCACATCCAGCCCACTGCCTTGACTTGTCATACTAGTGTTTCTGGACAGTTGGTCAAATGCTTGTCTCTCTTCTATATGTACACACTTGCCAGTCTCCCTCTACAAGTGGGAAGGAGACCAATTCTGACCTGCATGGCTTCCATTATTGTGTGAGAGTAACAATGGAACGACAAGCCTGCCAGACAGACGAAAGCTCATGAGGCCTGAGGAGCAGAAGTGGGGTGGGCTGGCTTTAGACAGAGAAGACTTCCTAGGGGATGGATTCCTGGGAGTAAGAAGCAAGTAGCTTGGAGACAGGCTGACAGCTGCAGGATCCGAGGGAGTCCCAATATGCTCCTATTCTAAGGGGACTTGGACGCAGCAAGAGGAATGCTCTGTGAGGGCCAGGCCAACAGCTCCACAGAAACCTTCCCATCCAGAACCCAGATCTTCAGGGCAGGGCAAAGCTCCTGGACCTGAACCCACCACCCTACCTTGGGATGGGAAAAGATCTGTAGCACTCTGGCATAAACTGCCTTGACTTCTGTCTAGTTCAGGATCCACTAAAAACAGACCCTTAGAAGACAGAGTTGAGCCCAGTTGTGGTGGCACACACCTTTAATTCTAGCACTCAGGAGGCAGAGGCAGGTGGATCTCTGAGTTCAAGACCAGCCTGGGCTACAGAGGGAGTTCCAGGACAGCCAAGGTTAAGCAGAGAAACCCTGTCTCAAAAAACTAAACCAAAAAAGAAAGAAAGAAAGAAAAAAAAAAACAGATTTGAGTGTAACTCATTTGTTTAGGAGGCCATTCCAGAAAGCACAGATGGGAT